GTACAATTTTTGGGACACAAATATTTTCGACAGTTTAAAGTTAAAAGGTTGAAAATTGAATTTATCTCTTTTATGCAAGTTAATTTGCAATAAAAAAATTGAAAAAAGAAATTTTTTAAATAAAAAGTCAAAGTAAACTTGAATTTTTAAATAGCATCATACAATTTTTTTCCATAATATTGAAGAAATCTTTAAGATAAATTTGAAATATCAGAAATATCATTTTTATGTTATTTTCTTGATTTTACTGATATTTAATATTAAATTTAGCGTGAAGAAATTATCCGCTAATTTAAAAAATTAAAAATTATTTATTTTAACTTTTATTTACAATAGAGTAACCCTGAGAAGAGCCATTTTTCAAAAATGTTAAATTCTTTCTCTGTAAGTTATTATAGCTTTTTGTTTTTGTGAATTTTATTTTACTAGGTGACGTGTAGGATTCTTGAGGTAATGTAAAAGAATTTTCAGGAGAAGCCCTTCAGGAAGTCTGAAGTCTCTCAGTCGGTGTTAACTCCTCATTTCTTAGTAGCCCGGAACTGAGTTCCTCTGCTAGTAATTCTATCTGAACAACTTTATCTTCTCTCCAAAGAGTTTTCCTGGGACTAAAAGGTAATGAAGAAAGAGGAGACAGGAACCTCCAGAAAAGTGAGGTAGCTCTTCGTCTTCGAAAATCTCTGTATCTCTGGAACAATCTTGGAGATCTTGTCCGCCGCACTGGAGAAAATTCCAAATAGAAAAGTCTCCAAGAACGAGAATCCTCTCGTTGATTTCCTTGAGGCGACAGAGTTATGCTGTTATGACCTTTCACTCTTGGCAGTTGCTCCAAGAGTGATGGATACTGCGAAATACTGCTTTATTTACCGTTTCCGACTGTTTTTAAAATAGAGAACAAGAAAATTTGCCCTTTATTGTCAATTGTATAATTAATTTTGCTTTTGAATTTGTCTCGGAACGACGAAGTGAAATTACCGGATACCGGGTGAACTTTTAATGTGATATCTTCAACCGCCATATTAAATTTATAGCACTAGACATTACAAACGCGCGTTGCGCGCGCGCTACTTATCTTTTTCAACACAAGAGCAAAAATTAATATAATACTATTATACTACTGTTACACTACAATATTTTTAATATATATAGACCGAGTACATGTTACCTAACATGTTACCTAACAAACTACAACGCGAAACATGGCATTTTCTCGGCAAGCAGGATCTTGATTGCTAAAGTCTTTTTACATGAAATAAATTCAATTAATTATATTATCAACTACGTGCCGCTTTGGTTTTAGCAGACTTTCAACGTAATGGCTCTATAATAATTTGATAATCAATATTTTTGATTTCGATTAAAATCCTTTTATTATTCTTCGCCCACTGGAAATATAATATTTTTAATTTCTTGATACACAATTGTCAAAATGATTCTCGCTGTGAGATCAATACAATGACAGCTATTCATGAAGTTAGTGCAGCGAGAGAATCAATCAGCATCGCGGAAAAGCGTCAACAATAAACTTTGAGAAAATTTCGAGAGATGCGAGTATCAGGCCTTTTTTTTAGAAAAGATTATTTTAAATAGTAATACTTGTAAACTATTATATACACAAACATAAACACTGAAGGCTGTTTAAGAATTATACTTTCGTACTGTACATACATAACGTACATAATCATTATAAATAATTATTAGCATTCTTTCAAAATAAATATTAATCGTTGCTTTAATAACAATCATGAATCGTTATTCTATAATAAAAAAAATTTCAGAAAAAGTTGATATGTTATTGATATTTAATAGAAAAAATTCTCGTCAAGTTGCAAGTTGTTGTCTTGTAGCATCTAGATAGAAATTATTCATTAAAAAAAAAACTTTCAAAAACATTGGACATTGGAATATTTACAGAAAATTGGAAAATTTCCTAATGGAAAATGCTCTAATCAAAAAGAATCGTAGTTATAAATAATAATAATTCTGCTTATCGGCTTATTTTCATATAAATCCACATAAGTCAATTCGTTGTTGCTGTTAAAGCGAACATATTAATTGGAATAGAATAATAAAGAAATAATAAATCCATTTAAGGATTTGGTTAGGGAACGTGAATGTGAGTGAGCGAGCGTGCATACAGAGTGTATGCAATAGAATTTAGTAATTTGAGATAACAAAAGCAATTAGTATTGTATAAAAGGCAATAGAAGGAAGTTTGGAGTATAAGAGTGCAAATAAAGATAAGGAATAGATAGGAATAGGTGATAGAGAGATATAGTAAGGCGAAAAAAGATACTAGAGGTTATGGCAACGCGCGGTGCGACAAACAGTAAAAAACACGAGTAAAAATAGAAGGATAAGTATAGGTAGGAATGAGGATGACGATAAATAGAAATTAGAACTAAAGAAAAAGATAAGTTTAAAAGGGGAAAGAAAAAAAGTGACTTTTATGGGAAGTGGTAGAGAGATTAAGAATGAAGTAGAACTTATAAAGGAATTTATGAAAGAGATAAAGGAGGATTTCGAGAGAGAAAAAAATGAATTGAAAAAGAAAAAGAAGAGCATTAGCTGAGTATTGTGAGGAAGGAAAAAGAAAGGAGAACTGGGAAATAAGAATAAGTATGCTAGAAGAGAAAATTGAAGAACTAGTAACAGAAATAAGGGACCTAAAAGAAATCATGGAAAGTAATGAGAAAAATATATTATTAAGAGATGAGGATACAATATCAATTGCGAAAGGAAGGAGTGTAATCAGTAATAGGAGTAGCAGTAGGAAATGTTCAGTGAGCACAAGTATAAATGAGAATAGAGTAAGCGCAAAGAAAGTAGGTAAATTAAAAAAAATAGATGAGAGATAAAAATTTGAGAGAAGTAACGATGTAATATTGAAAGGAGTGGGAAATGGTGGGAATGGTAGAGAACAAGAAAAAGAGAAGAAGTAGTTAAGTTAGGAAGTGAAAATGAGAAGAAGAAGTAATGAGTAGAAAGAATAGATTGAAAGAAGAAAAAATATTTATAGAAAATGATTTGAAAAAAGAGAAAAATACAGAAAAAAATAAAAAGGTGGGCAAAAGAGAAAAAAGATAAAGGAGAGAATGTTAAAATAGACATAGGGAAGTGAGAATTGAAGGTACATGGAAAAACTGGAAGAAAATAGAAAAGGAATTGGAGAGAAATGTAGAAAATAGGCATAAGGAAGTAAACGGAGAGGAAAGGGCAAAAGAAAATTTCAGTTAAGCCAGGAAAGAACAGAAAAAGAAAAGAGAGAAAATAGGAATGAGGAAGTTTAAATATAAGTTTATTATTTTGGAATGTTGCAGAACCAGCGAAACAAAATATGGACTTCTAAAAATATTTAAAAAATTTTGATTTTATAAATTTATGCAAAACATGGATATGCGAAAAAAGATGGGAAATGATCATGGATAGGCTTCCAAATTCGTATCAATATAAAGATGCGCAAAGGAAGAAAGGAAGGAGGAAAGCCTGTGAAGGATTGTTAATAAGTAAGAATTTGGAATGTAAAGAGTGGAAAGGAAAATGCATAAAGAGGATATGCAGGGTGTCCGGCATCGGTCATATCACCTTTTGTGTGCAGATAGAGTTGATAAAACTAAATAGAAAAGTCCTGAGTAGAAATGGCAATAGCTACGCACGAGCCGCTTGAAGTAAACAATTCCTCACGCGCCTATCAACAATGATCGCCGGGCGGGAGTATCTTACTTCGCGCTTGCATTTACCGGTGGACCGGGCTAATATGGTGATTTTTAATAACCCTATG